TTCTTGTTGTTGCTTTGGTCCATTACAGTTGTTCTTGTTATTCTCTTTATATTAATTATTCACTCAATGTCTACCTCATTCACTTATCGAGCCCTAAAGAAAGAACACATCTTCTCCAACAATCGAAAGAACACTTATTCTCCAAGGAGCCCTAGTGAACGAAAAAAAATCTCTCACCATTATTCTTCGGTAGGTTATTATTGTTGTCGTTTTTCTTGTTGTTGCTTTGGTCCATTACTGTTGTTCTTGTTGTTATTGTTGTTGAGAAGCTTTTTTTTTTTGCTGTGTACGTTTTTCATTTTTTTTTCATTTTTTCATTGATTAAAATGAAAGAGTACATGATTCTTGGGTTAGATAATTTTTTCCACATCGAAACAACATCCTTTAGCACTAAAGGAATCTTCTCAATCTATGACTCATTCATCACTAACCTCCTCTGAGTCATGTAAACAATCTTCCTTGAAACCTTTCTCTTCTGCTTCTTCAACATCTTCTTCTTCTTGGGCTTCGTCACCCTCAGTGTATCCCTAATAGTAGTCGAACCAGATGGTTAGGTCTCCTCACTTGACTGCTGATGGTGTTGTTTTATAGTGCTGGTTTTGTTCTCAATAGTGACTTCTGTTGAGATAATGCTAAGCCTTCTCAGATGGAGAACACGTGTTGCTAGGAAGTTAAGAAGAGTTGGTTGAAGATGAAGAAATTCAGTATTTATAGAAGAGGTTGATTTAATGCTTGCAATGATTACTTCTGATGGTTGATATTCTTGAATGGGATGTGGCCGTCTTGAGAAATAAAGAAAAATTTCAATCATTATAGTTGTTTCTCTCTTTTGGGAAGAACAAAGTTTGTTCTTGGTTTTTTTATTAGAATTCAATTTTTCCACATATTTTTCATTTACAAAGAGAGTAATGCATCAAATATTTGCAAATGTTTGTCATGTATGCCTAAGTTTTTATGTCATCGATCCTTCTAACACTAGATGCTCAATTATTGTTCAAGGTAAACATTTCCTGATAGTACTTATGAAAATCAAGAATTTAAGATGTCTTGTTTAGTAACACATGTATGTCAAGCATCTGAAGAAAATGATTCAGATGATGTACATGTTATTCGTCGTGATCATGAAGAAGGGATATGAGAAAACTAGTAAGTAAATGTTTTATATTCCTTTGAAATTTATAATTAATCATTTTACTCATTTTTAATCATGGTACTATTTTTTTAAAGTTGTTGTTGATCGACCTAATTAGTTTCAAATGTTTTAGTTTTGATGTAAAATTATAAAGTGTGTGTCATTTTGGGTTTGCATTTGGTTTAATCAATGAATATTTGTGGTACAATATTTCAGATTGAGAAATTGACAAAATGTACAATATTTTTATTTTAGGAATATGCATAATATGGTTTTATATTCAAGAATATGGTTCTGTAATACAGGTGCAAATCACAGTACAAAAAAAATGTATCCCCTCAATGTTTACATAAAACCAAGGTAATAACATTAATATATTACCTCGATTCTACAAAACACCGAGTATTAATATTGGGTGCGACAACCAGAGGAAGAGTTACGTCTGGACAGGGTGGCCACAGCCACCCCAGTTTTTTTTTCATATATGTGAAAATACTGAAGTACCCTTAATAACATTCAATATTTACAACTTTTCCACTCAGCCCTAAAACTCTTCTTAGTCCATTTACGACATATTTCTATTTCTTTCTCTCTTTTTTTCTTTGAAAACATAAACTCTCTATTTCTTTTCTATTCTTTTTTACTACCAGTATCACCAAAATTCCTTTTCTCATGCAGCTAAGTTATTTCTTGTGAATCTAAATTATTTCCTTGAAGTTGATTGTCTTACGTTTGTTCTTTTTCTCCGGCTTTCGAGATTGAGGTTAGTTTCTTTTTATCAATAACGAATGTGTCTATACTTCTTGCTTGTAGTTTTGATACTCATTGTTATCAATAACTGTTAAATATTAACAAGTGTGAGTAGTGTGGATAATAGTCCCACATTGGATAGAAATGTGGTGACTTGAGCATTTATAAGTGAGAGAACCCATACACCTATCACCTTAAGGTTTTGGGTGAGTATGTGGTGTGTCTCTCACAAAGGTTGCTCTAGAAAAAAGTCCCACTATGTTCAATGCTCCCTAGTTGAAAGTCTAACAATAACATGTTGAAAATTTTAAAATTTCTCTTAGTTTTGTTGAAAGCGTATGAGTAATTTAAGTTTTGGATTTGTGATTGAAAATGTAAAATAGTAGATAAGAATGTCATGTATAAAATTTTAATTTTGAAACTATAGCAGGGGTTGTTTTATTTGGTAGCAGGGGTTGTTTTATTGCTTAAGAGTGATTTATTTATTTATGAATTAAGGTCTAGAAATCCATAAAATATTGAAAATTAACTTAGCTATGGACTTTTTTATGAATTAAATGTATTTTTTGTATGATTTTGAGACATGTTGGGAACACTCCTTGGGGAGAACAAGGTAACCATTGAGCATTATTTTAAAGTTGAAATATTTTTCACTACCATTGGCAAATAATTACAAGAGTTGAATAACATATTTAGTGAGCAAGCCATTGATTTGTTAACTCTAAGTTGTGCTTTGTCTCCCAAGGATAACTACAAGGCTTTTAACTTTGATACTATTTGCACTTTAGTTGAAAAATATTATACTGTAGACTTTAATGAGAAAGAGAGGATTAATTTGCAATTTCAACTTTAGCATTTTAATATTGACGCTCGTCAAGCATCGAGTTTGAACAATTTATCAATTATTCTAGACTTATGTTCCTCTTTGATTGTAACTAGATAGAATGAAATTTACTATTTGATGGATAGATTGATCCGCCTTATCACGACTCTTCCTGTATCTACGACCACTACTAAAATATCTTTTTCAGTACTGAAAATTATCAAGATAAAATTGAGAAACAAAACGGAAGCTGATTTTCTAGGAAATAGCATAACCATTCACATTGAAAGAGAAATTTGCTATAAATATTAATTCTGAGACTATTATTGATGATTTCAAGCTACTCAAAGACCGTAGAGCATTGTTATAAGATATTTTTAAGTAATGCACTTTAAACATTTCATGTTCAACTTTATGTTTATTACAACTTAAATATTTTATATACATTTTGGTATGAATATTCGATATATAAATTATAGTTTAATTTTGTGGTCACCCCAAATTTTATAGTTTGGCTCTGCCACTGGTGTCATCCAGTTTTCAAAATAATAAAAATGCTGATGTTGGGGATCGAACCCATGACCTTTTAATTTCTAACCTCGATTTTAAAATCACCGAGGTGACAAGTGATTTCTTTTCATGCCGCACTTCGTTACCTCGTTTGTGTAGCCGAGGTTAAATGTATTTTGCGACCGATGTTAGATGTGTTATTTGTAGTAGTGCTCTTACATATTCGTTGAGGAGTTGAGGAAAGACAATTTCCTTATCTACGATCTGGTCCAGATAGGCATGACAATATAACTCGTATCCGCGGGTACCCATCCAAACCCGTTCTAAATTTTACGAGAAAAATCCACTTTTATTGGATTTGTGTTTGAGTTTGAGTTTTTCCCAATTACAAAATATGATGAGGAGTCGAATAATGGAGACACTCCGTTCATTTTGTTACGTACTTTATTTTTTAGTTTTGATTTAGAATATTAAATATGTGGTCAATGTTTTGATATTTTGATTTGTATTTATTATTTTAAATTTTTGAAATGCATGTATATATATTTTTTTAGATTGTTTTATTTATTATGTGCATTGTAATTTGATTTTGGAAAAAGATAAATATTTCTTTTTTAAAAAATTTATTGCACTAAATAGATGATGGCGGGACATAGATATTTAAATTCAGCCCAAACTCGTTTGGGACGGATGTGAGTTTTAATTTCTCATCCTTGATAGGAATCGGGGTGGGGAACAATAATTGTTTGAAAATTCGAGTTTGAAAAGATAAAAATCTTTCCCGAACCACCTCATTGTCATACCTAAGTCTAAAGATAATGACTATAGATACCTGAAACGATAGGGTTGAGGAGATCATTCACTATTTAACATATTTAACTTATACAAATTCTCTTACTTTAAGAGGAAGATCTTATTGGATTTTCCGTAAGTGCAATAATATTTTTTTATTTAAAAATAAAAATATGTATTTAAGTATAATTTTAAATTTGATCCAACTTTTAATTTAATTTTTCTTAATCAAATATTATCTAATTCTTATGTATTTCCAAAGAAATTAAATATAAAACTAATATAATTAAATTTAAAATTAAAATTTTGTAGTAAAAATAAAAAGAATTTTATTGATATACATTTTTTACACTGTCAACTAATAACCATCCTATATTCCGCCACATCACACTATAAATTTTAAATTACAAGTATGATATGATAAATTCATGAATCCAATAAAATGAAAGTGCATATCAATTAATCTCAAATAAAAGTTATATAATTTGATTAAAAAGTTGAATTAGAATTTATGTGTAGACGGTGGTCAAATATTATCTTGATTGAAGAAACACATAGAAAACATTTAGTAACTTACCATTTGCAGCAAGGAAATAAATAAAAAAAATCCGGGGGCAATACAGGGGCACTTTTTCCTTTGTTTTTGTTACAGATAGGCTGGCATGATGACCGGTCATTATTGAGAATCAAATGTATTGCGTTGATCACGTTCATGACGCCTCATGCTTAACCACATTTTACCTGTCATTGTTTTCTTCCCATTATTCTATTTCCTTTTTATCTTGTTTCCAGCCTTTATAAACTATAATACTAACCTTCTTTGTCTGTCTATTATAAGTGAGTAACGTGCACCCAAGTACTCTTCTTCTTAGTTAGACTCACTCATTCATAGTGCCCATCATCATCACTCATCTACACACTATTTCTTCTTTCTTCTACTATATTTACGGATCAATTTATCAATCTAAAATTGATACATTGATCTGATTCATGATGAGCAGCAGCAACCACAACAATGGATCACAGTTTGGGGACACTACGCTGACCAAAGTGTTCGTCGGAGGTCTTGCTTGGGAGACTCCCAAAGACACGCTCAGACAACATTTTGAAAAGTACGGCGAAATCCTTGAAGCTGTTATCATTTCCGATAAGGTTACCGGCAGATCCAAAGGCTACGGATTTGTAACGTTCAAGGAACCAGAGGCGGCAAATAAGGCTTGCGAGGAACCGACTGTCATGATCAATGGCCGCCGGGCAAACTGCAATATCGCATCTCATGGTGCTCGCCGTCAAAGGTCTGCTCCCGCCACTCCTCCTCTTTCTCCTCCAACACTTCCACCGCCATACACACAAGGTACGTACTCATGTATTAATAATATTTCAATTGTATATATGAATATGATACTTCTCTAACACTAAACTAAATTTTTTTATTATTACAATAGGAACGAAGAACCGTGAGAGCCAGCAGGTTCAGTGGTATTATCCGGTGGGAACACCCACACCTGCACCTCCTTCTCCATTCCATCATCAAGCCATTCCTTTTTACGGGTATGTATATATATTCTCTTTTCCCTGAAATTGTAAGTATTTACCAACTAATTTAAAAATTGAAAATTAAGGAGTTTCATTATTTTTGCTGCTAGTTTAGAAAATATGATATTTGAGAGAGACATGGGACATGTTTTTCTTTTGGGTGAAAGGGACAGTTTATTTAATGAGTTTCATTTAAACTATTCAGGTATACGCCGAGCAGCTACATTGCACCGGATCATATGAATTACAATTATTATAACTACAATTACAATTACAACTACAACCAGGTAATATACACAGTTGGTGCAATATGCATGATTACATAATCGAAATGATATTTATTCTGAAAAAATGGTGGACGCATGCATGCAGAAGCTGAACTATGGAATGGGTGGGGTGTATGTGTACCCGACTCGGCAGGGTGTTGTTCCAGTGATGCATCCTTTCTACAGAACAGAAGCTATGGGTGTCCCTGCACCTCAAATCTTCCATTATGCCCCCTCCATCACTCCTACTACTATTACTACTACAGGTAACACACATTACTGTCTCCATTGTCAGGGATATAAGCTTTTGACTCAAGTCGGTCATTCAATAAGAACAAATACTTTTCTAAGCTGTCATATTTAATAATTGTTGAAATAAAGGGTACTATATATTTTACAATAGAAACCTTGAAGATTTGGTTTATAGTATTTTACTAGACTAAAGTGACAGATTGTTTTTGTGAGTGACAGGTCCAGTTGGCACAGGTGAATGCTTCAAAAGAGTAATGGTATGAGTGAGAGAGAGGAGCTTAGTTGGCAATGGCATATGCATGGGTGATTGTCGCACGCAGCTACATTATTATGTCATATTTGCTTTTGGATTCTTTATTTTTAATTCTTAATCTCATTCTTTCATTCTCTCTCTAACAACTCACCATCATGAGCTGTCAATTGTTTCATTACAACAACAACAAAAAAGAACCATTAATATGCCAATGTTTATCTTCAATTGCCCATACCTAGTGGGTTCCTAGCTTTTCCTCACTTCGACTCTTCAACCTAAATAAATTTAATCTTTTTTTTTTCTTAGAGTCTTATTAATTTCTATTTGTTGGTATACTAGATTCAATCTAAAAAGAAATTAGACAATTTATATAGCAAAAACTTATTTTAAAAATATTGTTTCTGTCTTTGCGCTAAACAGATACAATTTGTATATCATGCCAATTCAATGCAAAATATTGAATTTAAAATCAATTCCTATACTAATTGATAATTGAATTTTAATTTTTTTTACCAAACTCAATAATATCCAAATTATTCTTTAGTAATACTAATTCAATCAATATTACCAAAAACAAACAACTGTTAACACACAGTTTAGCGGACAGGAATGAATGGTACGGTCTAGCTCACAACTTTTGTAATTTATTATTTTAAAAATTTTGGGAATTAAACCATAAATATAGTAAAGAACTAGGTTTTAACAATCAACAATTTTAATCTTAATTGGAGAATAAATCACAAGACAAATAAGACTTGTGAACCTTTTGATTAGAGAATCTTCATACAAGATTCTTAAACTCAAATGAGGTGTAATGAATTGATTAGAGAATCTTCATACAAGATTCTTAAACTCAAATGAGGTGTAATGAATTTCAATCAAAATATCAAATTTCTTTTGCATCAAACACACAATTGAAATCCTAAAATGGGTAGAATTTAAAGAGCAATGGATTATTTTTCTTTGAATCAATATCCAATTGACACTCTAATTGATATTACTGAAACATTATGTGACTTACAAAGAATTATTCATCTTAAGTATCTCTTAAAAGATTTCAAATCTACAACAATTATCTATGAGTATTCATGAAGAAAAAGAAAATTATTGAGGAGGAGGATTACAATGTTTTTTTTTAATGGAAAACACTTTCATTAAGCAACAGAAGAAACAAACATAGAAATACAACTAGGAGGCAGACTCATTCAAGATTTTGTGCATCCACATTTAACTGCCTATTCAAAAACATCACATCACGGAGGCTTTACTAAGTAAGCGTCTAATATCATGAGCTACAAGCTCTAAAACATTCAGAAAGTAAATGGATTTAATACGGTCAACAATTGGACTAAAATTTTCTCCAACTTAAGATCCAAGCCCAATTGCACGCTCCATCTAATGGTCAAAATTTCTGCCAAAATAAGTTCAAATGTGATTCTATAGACAACATACAAGCTATGTATCGGATAATTTTACCTTGGATTTAGAGAGTAAGAGTCAAACAGTAGAGAGGGGTGCAACTCTTAGTCCACCTATCAATTAGTATAGGATAAACAACATCATAAAATAGTAATATCAATGTGTCATTTAAATATTTTTCTTATATATTGATGTCTTCGCCTTCTCTATCATAACATCTCACATCTCATATACCAAATGAAGTATGGACTCGTCAGTATCACAAAGTCTAACCATATTATAAATAGGCTCGGTAAGATTAATAAGATATGCAATTGTGTCCCACCAAACACCATTCAAAATAAAATCTTTTGTAGCTTGAGCGTTACCCACATCATCCTCTCTCTAAGAATTTCATTCTTCACTAATAACCATTAATTGCAAAGGACGCTTCAAGAATTTAAATCTTCTTAACATTACCATGACATATGCAAAGCGTGCGTCTGAAACATCAAGCAGTTTGAAAGATGAGAATTGTTTAAAAATAATATTTTTTATGGAGTGGTTCATGATAAAATTTCTAAAAAAAAGAAACATCATCACCAATCTAAGTAATTCAATTACATTCAGTCCAGACTACCACATTTTTTTCAATATGTTTGGCAAACACATATGTTCGTTAAAGCGAGATTTAATGTGTGAACAACACAAGGAGTTCAAAAAACTTTTGGAAATAAACGTTTTAAGATCATTCTGGCACCTTTGCATATAGGAGCATTATATAGGAGCATTATCTGTAATAACTTGTACCATATTTTCTTCTCCAACTTCCTTTATAACTTCACTCGTCCTGTCAGCTATGTAGTGTATTTTTAATTATTCACAGCTTTCAAAAATATTGGACACCCTTCACTTATGGCCATAAAATTTATTAAAGGCCTTCTATGGCAATCTGTTCATCCATCAGAAACAATGCTAACCCCTTTTGAATTCCAAGTTGATTTAATTGGCTTAAGCAGCCTCTTAACGTTTGCTTTCTCTTATATTGTAAGAGAGTTGTCCTCAATGTATTATATCTAGGGGAGAAAATCAAATAAATTATGATTTGTAGCAAATAAATAAGAATTCACATAATAAAGATTTCTTGTAAGGTTAAAAGACAATTCAGGTGAATAAAACATTCTAACTATGAGAGTTTTAAGAGTCTCTCTATCACTTAATTAAAAGATTTTTTTAATGGACTATTTTTCCTTCTTTTCAAAGAAGGACCATCTTGCATTCTTTTAATGAAAAATGGAACATACTTAGGTTTCACTTTATTATTAACTATTTCTACAATAGATTATAACTCAGACAAATATTCTTCATTCACACTAGGACACGTAGCAATTACAATTCCATAAATTATTAGCAAATGGAATTTTGCTCTAGAGTAAGAACTTGTAAATTCTTTTTGACAAAAGTTACAGACTCATACCTTATTTTCACATGCTTCTGAACCCTTAATACCCTTGTTTATTATACTAACATAAGTTTAAAGAGGACGATAATCATCTTGTAAAATATTTTTAAAGCAAACTTACTTGAAATTTTTTAATCATATATTGTGTTGCTTCAACTAATGCCTCTGGATGAAGAAGACTTTTTTAGTGAGAATGTGAAGGATGAAGAAGAAAACGACGACAATAATATAAGAAAGGAATGGTTGCAGGTTAGTATATAAGTAATATTTGTTATAGGAATTGAAAACAAATATTAGAATTGAAAAGTTATAATTAATAAAAATAATGATTAATGAGTAAAATTCAAATATTAAAAGTGGAAAGAAAATAGCTTTATTGTATAAGTTACAGGAAATTGGAAAGATTTATTTTAGAAAATTGAAAATTGGAAAGAAAATATTAGAACACATTGTATAGGTTCTAGTATTGTAAATGGGAAAGAATCTTGGAATAAATAGATTTATGGTCTGTTTTGTTGGGGGGTAAATGGAGGGGAGGGGAGGGAAAGGAAGGGAATATTTTATAATTTATGTGTTTGGTTCAAATTTTAAAAGAGGGAGGAGAAGTAGATAGAGGGGACCAAAATCCCTTCTGAATCACTTTTTGTTTCCCTGATTTGGAGGGATTTAGAGATGAGGTGTTTGATTTTGATTATAATTATATTTACATATTTATCCTTATTATTTATTTAAATATAAATTTAACTTATAACAATATTAAAAGTTTTATTTTGAACAAATTTAATCTTTCTTTTTATATTTTTTGTATTTTTATATCTTCATCTTACTTTCATTATATTTGTTTAAACTTTTTTACTTTATTTTTAATTATCGTAATGTTTTTGTTTATAATAACAGGGGGGCCAAACCTATAATTTAGCCAATTATATATTATAATCATTACGTTTTTATAAAATATTTCATGATGATTTCTGATTGAATATTTATATTTCGTCAATAAATTTGTATTTGAATTATAAACGGTAAATATCACTAGTCTTATGGTAAAAGTTGAAGGATAAAAAAGTAAATTTGTTTTAAAATGTCTCCCCTCCCCTTGTGAACCAAACATATTTGTAAGTAAAATGTCTCCCTTTCCCTCCCCTTTCATATTTTGAATCAAACATATACGTAATTAAAATCCCTCCCCTCCCTTTCTCTCCCCTTGATAAAAATCCCTCCTCTCCCCTCCCCTCTAGGGATGGCAAACAAACCCGGGCCCGCCCACACCCGTCCGGGCCCGCCCCGAAATTAACGGGGGAAATCCGATTTAATTGGGTGCGGGTGCGGGTGCGGGTGAAACCCGGTTCTTAACTACGGGTGCGGGTGCGGGTGCGGGTAGACACTAAGACCCGCCCGCCCCCGCCCCCGCCCCGCCCCAAATAATATATTTTATTTTGATTTCCTTATTTTATTTATTTTAATATTTATTTATTAATTATACTTTTAATTAAGTTATTAATATTCTTATTGCAATTAAAATAATAAAATTAATCAAGTTAATATTCATTTATTAATTAAAATTTTAATTAAATAATTAATTAATTTATTAAAATAATCAATTTTTTAATTAAATTACTAATTTTTATTATAATTAAAAAAAATAATAATTTTTTGCGGGTGGGGGCGGGGCGGGTGCGGGTGCACCCGTTTTCTACCGGGGGCGGGTCTGGGTGGTAAATTTTCACCCCCGATTGGATTTGGGGGCGGGGGCGGGTCTGTTACATGGAGGCGGGTGCGGGTGCGGGTATAGTTAAACCCGCCCCCGACCCGCCCCGTTGCCATCCCTACTCCCCTCGGTTGAATCAAACAGACCCTTAATGATATGGATATAGGGATGACAATGGGTAGGGTATGGGCAGGGTACTATAATACTCATCCCATGCCCGCGATTTGAAAAGATCTTCGTACCCCAGCCCATATCCGCTTGGCCTCCAAAGTCAGCACCCGTGCTCTATGGGTACGTAAGTACCCATACCCGTACCCGTTACCCATATTTCTATTAAAAATAAATAGATCAATTATAAAAATCATATCATTTTAAGTTTTTAAAAACATTAAAATGTTTTGAAAAATTTTATTGTTGAAATAAACGAACACTTATATTAAAT